TAAATTAAATTAGAGGAAATTAAAATCTGTAATGCGAATCGCTCCACCCCCCTATATTTGTTTTCGATTGTGATATTTTTAATTATAAAAACTAATTAAAAACAATAAAGTTCTTTTTTCTTTTTGTTTTTATTAAACTTGCTTTTTTTTTGTTCTTTCTTTCTTTGTTAATTTAACTCATCATTTTATTTTCAACTTTTGCATTTATTATTAATTAATCTATCTTATTATTTCATATTTTTTCTTCATTTTTTCCTTCTAATTAACTATTTAATGATATATTTTTTCTTCAATATTTAAAAAGTTCCAATTAAATTGGTGCAATGGGTGCATCAGGCTTAGGTTCTGCTTTAGCAAATTGCATTAATCTCTCAAATTTGACACTTGATCTTAAGTAAAAACAGTTTATTTGTTTTGGATTGTGATATTTTTAATTATAAAAACTAATTAAAAACAATAAAACTCTTTTTTCTTTTTCTTTTTATTGTGCTTGCTTTTTTTTTGTTCTTCCTTTCTTTCTTTCTTTCTTTCTTTCTTTGTTAATTTAAATCATCATTTTATTTTCAGCTTTTGTTTTTATTATTAATTAATCATATTTATTATTTCATATTTTTTCTTCATTTTTTCATTCTAATTAACTATTTAATGATATATTTTTTCTTCAATATTTAAAAAGTTGGAATTAAATTGGTGACGAAGGTGCATCAGGCTTAGGTTCTGCTTTAGCAAAATGCATTAATCTCTCAAATTTGACACTTGTTCTTTAGTAAAAGCAGTTTATTTGTTTTGGATTGTGATATTTTTAATTATAAAAACTAATTAAAAACAATAAAACTCTTTTTTCTTTTTCTTTTTATTGTGCTTGCTTTTTTTTGTTCTTTATTTGTTAATTTAACACATCATTTTATTTTCAAATTTTGCTTTTCTTATTTATTAATTTATTTTTTATTATTTCATATTTTTTCTTCATTTTTTCCTTCTAATTAACTATTTAATGATATATTTTTTCTTCAATATTTAAAAAGTGTAAATTAAATTGGTGCAATGGGTGCATCAGGCTTAGGTTCTGCTTTAGCAAATTGCATTAATCTCTCAAATTTGACACTTGATCTTAGGTAAAAACAGTTTATTTGTTTTGGATTGTGATATTTTTAATTATAAAAACTAATTAAAAACAATAAAACTCGTTTTTCTTTTTCTTTTTATTGTGCTTGCTTTTTTTTTGTTCTTTATTTGTTAACTTAATTCATCATTTTGTTTTCAACTTTGCTTTTATTATTTATTAATTTATTTTTTATTATTTCATATTTTTTCTTCATTTTTTCTTTCTAATTAACCATTTAATGATATATTTTTTCTTCAATATTTAAAAAGTGTAAATTAAATTGGTCCAATGGGTGCATCAGGCTTAGGTTCTGCTTTAGCAAAGTGCATTAATCTCTCAAATTTGACACTTAATCTTGAGTAAAAACAGTTTATTTATTTAGGATTGTTATATTTTAACTATAAAAATAAATATTAAACAAAAAAACTCCTTGAATTTATTTGATTTATTTTTTTTATCATTTTTATACCACTAATGTTATTTTACTTATTTATTAATTTAAGAAATAATTTTTAATTTAAAAGTTTATTTTATTTAATATTTTTTTAAAATCTACACAAATTTATTATAAAAGATTTAACTTAATGAATAAATCATAAGCATTCTAAGTAATAAGCGAGTGTCTTAAATCAAAAAGATTAGTTGCCTTTAAAAAACAATATTGATGATAAGCAAGTGGCAAAAAAGGATGAATAGATAGATATTAAAATTGAATTATTGAATATGATATGTTTTATTGTTTTATATTTTGAAAAAGTGTTTTTAACCCAAAATATAGATGCATTCATAGATAGATTTTACTATTGTTTTTAAATTATAAATATCATATTTTTGTAAGTTAACAAATAGCTAATAAATAATAAAAAAAGATCAAATAATATGAAATTTTAAGTGTTATATTATATCTTATTACATAATATAAATGCCAAGTTTTTATATAACAGTTTGATTAAAATCTTAAATAGTATGTATCCATCAATAACATTAAGGAATCTGAGGGGTTATTTGTGATAAATATAATTTTCTTCTATCATTCTTATAATTCTTATTTGAAAATATACGGAAGATGCTACAAATTAAAAAAATGTCGTTGTTAAAATAAATTAAATTTATATAAGCTTGTTTGCTTTGAAAATAAAATGGTTTTGAATTGATTTTTAAAATATTTATTTAACTTTAGTGTATCACAAATACAGTATTTCAATAAATAACTAAATTATTTAGCTTATGTAATTCTAATTTTTACTTCCTTACATGGATATTTTTTAAAGAGGATAAATAATGAAATAAAAGGAGCATATGTTTTAATTATTATATTCATATCGACTAAAATATATTTCGTAGATTTTTATTTTTTATGATTTTAGGCTTTACAAAAAATACAACTTATTTATTTGCTTGAATGCTCAAATTTCTTCTATTATTTGTAATTTATTTTTGTTTCAGTATTAAAAAAGATATTTTCATAATCAAAATTAAAAAAAATCCTACGAATTAGTGTCGATTAATTTTTCTATCTATTACTTTTGAAAGAAGGTTTATCTTAAATATAATACTTTAGTCACTAACTTCTCTCTAAAATTGAACATTTTTATTCTTAAATAAACAAAATAATTATGCTTTTATATGGCAACTAAATTGAACAATATTTTTAAGTTAATAATTAATCAATATGGTATTTATTAGCTTACTAAAAAACAAATTGAATATAGATAAAAATTGATAATCTTAATTAAGTTATCATAGAAAAAGTTTATATTATCAAAAGATATCTAAATTTAATTAATTTAATTATAATTAATTAATTTATCATCTTATTTACACTTACTTCAAACAAACTATTATCAAAAATATTAAATTAATCGACTAAAAATTTGTAGTAACAACTAATTTTATTACTTTACAAATTTTTTAAAAATCAAGCTAAAATAGATTTTTTTTAACAAAAATTTTAAAAATACTTTCAAATTTAAGCTTATTTCTACCTCCAAAATATATTTAAAAAATAATTTTATCAATATCATAAAATAAACTATTCAAATAAATAGAATAAGTTAGTAAATAAAAATGGCTTTATTAAGAAGTAAAAATTTGTAACAAATGGTATTTATTTATTCATAGAAAATGATTATTAATTAATATTGTTAAAAGTTTGAATTATGTAAAATAAATACGCAATTTATAACTAAAAAATTTGATTTCCTCGAATTTATTAAGTTCTATTATCCCTCAAAAAAAATACTACTTAAAATAATGTAATGAGTGTTTTTAATGGTAACAAATTTTTTAGCGTTAAAAATTGTTTGTTTTTTATAAATAAAATGAAATATATTTGAATGAAATTATTTAGTTTAAATGCTTTTTTAAAATTTAGTTTCTTAAATATAAAAGCTATTCTTTCATATAAAAATGATTTTATTTTAGTTTTTCTTTCATTTTTTTTATCATAATAGCTTTACTATATGTATATCTATTTTATTAAATAGTATAAATCTAAACCTCATAAAAATAATTGCACATTATAAAAAACAATTATGTAGCTCTGAAACAAGAATGAAATAATTGTATTTTAATTTGGAAACATATTTATAAAACAAGATATACTTTTTGAAAAATCTTATGACTTTGATGATTTAAGCGGTTTTAATTATTCTTGTTTCTAATCTATTGATAGCCTATGTTACAGAAGCACCAAAATTCATCAGATTAATTAATATGTAATATCTTGTAGATATGTTTCATTTTTTCGTAGACAAGCATCAAATATTTATCTATTACAAAAAAAATTCTTCAGTAAGTGAATATTTGTAACAATCTAAATTTATAAAATATTTTAATAAATATATCAATTCAATATTTGTCTTTGATTCAAAATATATTTTTTAAGAATCATTAAACTCAATTTTCTTAATATTAATAATTAATTTAGCCTAGGTTTCAGCCTAAATAAATTAATGAGATAAGGATTATTAAGTTGTTATTCACCAAAATAACCTTAAAATTTTTCTTAAATTACATGATTTAGATATAATTAATTTCTGATTAAGTTTTGAAGCATTATTATATATCTTGTTTATTTCAAAAGTTTTGACTACTAATAGAGAGGTTCAATACAAAACAGCTATTTCATTTTAGCTACTTGCCTAATCAATAAACCTTATTTCAATGCAAAATTGTTAGAAACGCCGTATATAATTTAAAAAGTTTGTTATTCAAGCACAGAAACAAGCAAATCAAGAAAATTAAATACAAAAATATGTAATCAAAAGTTAAGGAATAAATATTTAGTAGGATTAATAATTAATTTTATATTTTCTTACCAATTATTCGAATTGTATGATTAACTTTTTTCTCATTTTTGTTTACATTTATTTCTTTGATTTTGGAACTTAATTAGAAATATAAAAACTATAAGCAATTTTTAACTTAAAAAGATAAAAATTATAATATCAAGTTTACTACTTCTCAACTTTAAATTTAGAATACGATTGCTTAAAATTTTATAATCAAAATAATCAAAATAAAAAACAAATTAAAAACTTTAAAAAAAAAAAAAAAAGATGAGATAAATTGCTTCAGTTTTAATTCTTATTTCTATTGCTTTGTTTACAGTAAATGCTTCTAAGTGTGAAGATGACATATTGACTCAGTTAAAATCAGGAACAGTTTGTTAGAATACTGATACTGCTTGCTAGACTGCATTAAATACTTTCCTTACATGTGGAGTGAACTGTGCCTAAAACAATAGTTCTGATTCTGCTATTGGCCTTTGTGTAAAGACCAGTTGCAGTAATATTACTAATGAAACTGTTAAGGGTTTTTACAACAAAATGCTTGCTTGTTTTGACAGCGTACTTTTCTTCTCAGCTCTCATTGTTTTATTATCATTGTTATTCTGATGATTTTAACTAAACAAAAGCTTTAAAACTTTATGTTTGATTGAATTAATTATTATGAATGGAGTTATGGTTTTGTAAAGATTTTTTTGTTATTTGTATAAAACCGTTTTTTAATTCTAATTTTTAATTCTAAATTAAAATCAATTATTTTAAAATTAGTTCAAATTGATATTTTTAATTAATAAATTATGTCAAATAATATTAGATTCTTTCATTTACGTAATAATTTATTCAAAAATAGGGAAAAAACTGATAATATAATATGTTTTTTAATTATTGTAATACACTCAATATTATAATAATAAGTTTTTCTCATAGCTAACTAATAGTTTAAATAACCTAAAAATAAATTAATACATCATACAATTTCATAAATGTCTAACTATTTTTTTAAAATTTAAACTTTATATGTCCCAACCAATGATATTAAACAGTAATATCTAAAAATTGAATTCAAAAATTTAATATAGAAGAAATACTGTATATAATTCTTTATTATGTGATCATATTAATTTAATCACAATTAACATATAAATATTGAACAATTTTATTCCTAAATAAAATAAATCATCATATTTTTATATTACTAATCGAATTTTTCTAAATTAATAAATAATTTTTATTTAATTAAAAAAACAAATTAAAATTAAATAATAATTTATAATGTTAATCAAGCTAGCCCAAGATTAAATTATAAAAAAATATTTAATTTGATAAATTTAATTGTTATTAATTTTATTCCTCAATAAAATAAATAGTTATTTGATTAATTTAATTATCATTAATTTATCAGCTTAATTACACTTATTTGAAAAAGAATAAATTATCTAAAATACGAAATTAATCGACTTAAAATTAATTTTATGGATTTATGAATATTTTTAAAATAAATTAAAAGGGATTTTACAGCAAAAATTAAAACATTTTCCAAATTCAAATTTCTTTTTACATTTTTTAAAAAATTTTCTAAAAATGCTTTAGTTAATATCACTAAATAAATTATTGGACATATTTTAGAAATACATAGAACGAGTTCACTTGTAAATAAAAATTACTGCTTCCAGAAGCAAACATTTGTAACTTAAGAAATACTTAATTATTGTTAGTGAAAAAAAATTGCAAGGACTGTTTTAAAATAGTTATGAAGTTTTTATTGTTTAAACGTTTTCTATTTATGATTAATAAAAAGAAATATTTTTAAAATTAATTTGAATCAAATCATTTAGGTGAAGCTCTAACTGTAAAAATATGATAATCATGAATAGAAAATCTATTCTTTAATATATTAATTATCCAACTTAATATTCTTTATATGGTTTTTCTAGTAATAGCATCGTTCTTTTTATTTTGCTAAATAAAATATATCTAAAGCTATTAAAAATGATTTGATTTAAAAACAATAAAGAAGTGGTTCTTAAAAAAGTATGAAATAGTTAATTTATTTATTTGGAAATAATTTTTGCAACTAAAGATAAAATTTTAGAGATTTATTTCATTTTAGTTTATTTGGTGACTTTAATTGCTTTGTTTCTAATTTATTAAAAACATATTTTACAAAAATATCAAATAAAAATCATCAATTAACCAAAGTTTAATATTTTAAAGATTTATTACCTTTTTTGTAGACTAGTATGAAAGAAATATCTACTAAATAAAAGTATTTCTATGATAAATGAAAAATTATTATCAAATTTAGTTAAAAAAATAATTTTAAAATATAAAATAACTAAATATTTGTGTTGGTTACTAAATGCATTTTTAAGTAATAATTAAAACTCTATTTTCATAAAAGTAATTAAATTAATTTAATCTAAATTTTAACTAAAATAAACTATTGAAATAATTAGTATCCACGAAAATGGCCAAAAATTTTTTCTTATATTACTTGAGCAATAATTAATTTCTGAAATCTAAAATTTTTAATTAGTATTATATATCCTAGTTTTTAGAAATAAATTACATAATAAGTAAGTTCAATAGAAAATAGTTATTCATTCTAAAAATTTACCAAAATTTTAATTTTAGATAAAACATTTAAGAATAAAATATTTAAAATATACAGTAATTAGTTAGTTAGTTAGTTAATTAGTTAATAATTATTCATGGGTTTGCCACAATTTTAAAAGAATATGATCTACAATTTAAAAAATCTATTTGCTATTAATGCATAAAAACTAATAAATAGATGTAATTAAATACAAAAAATACGTAATCAAAATTTAAGAAAAGTTAAAGAATATACATTTAGAATGATTAGTAATCAGTCTGATATTTTCTTACTTATTATTCAAATTTATGATTATCTATATTATTTGTTGTTTACATTAATTTCTTAAATTTTGGAACTTATTACAAATATGTTAACCATAAGCTATCTTAGCTAAAAAATTAATATTATAATATTAAATTTACTATTTCTTAATTTTAAATTTAGGCTAAATATTGCTGAAAATTTTATAATCAAAATAAAAAATAAATTAGAATTTAAAAAAAAAAACAAGATGAGAAAAATTGCTTCTATTCTAATTCTTATTTCTATTGCTATTTTTACAGCAAATGCCTCAAAGTGTGAAGACGACCTTATAACTTAGTTAAGGTTAGAAAAAGTTTGTTAGAATACTGATGCTGCTTGTAATTCTGCATTAGTTAAGCTCCTTGAAAGTTTAAGTAACTGTTACACAAAACATAATACTGAATCTGTTGCTAGAAATTGCTTTGTGACAAGTTGCAGTTATATTAGTAATCATAATGTTAAAGATTTTTACAACAAAATGCTTGCCTGTGCTGACACACTTGTACCCATCTGATTGTTATTTTGATGATTTAACAACACTAAATTAGAAATAAATGAATTTTAAAATTGAATATTATGAGTTAATTAAAATTAATTGAGTTATGAACTTGTTACAATTTTTTTATTGTTTGTATGAGACTGTTTTTTTATACTAAACATTCATTTTGATAATAAATCATATTTTTTCAGATTTTTTAAAAATGTTATACATGAACTTAATCAAATATAGTAAGTACATCATAGAGATAGTGGATTAAATTCTTTTTTGTAAAATGAAGTATTAATTAATAGGCAAAGAAATTAAAATCAAAATGTCTTTATTAATAATATAAAATCATGTACTAAAAAGTTTAGAATAATTTATATTTAAAAATTACTTTCAATTTTAGAATTTATTTTTCATATTTCTCAACCAATAAAAAAGCTAATTTATAAATATTTTTGATTTTTAAATAATATTTAGGAACTAATTTATATAATTTTTTATTATCTGATAGTATTAGTTCAATCACAATTACCATCTAGATATTGAACAATTTTATTCTTAAATAAAATAAATCATTTTATCTTTATATTTCTAATTTATTGAAAATTATTCCAAATTATTTATAAATTTGTCTGTATGTAATTTTTATTTTATTTTTAAAGAAAGATGAATTAAATAAAAATGTATGATTTGTTATTAACTTTATTCCTAAATAAAATAAACCATTTTATTTTATAACATACTAATCAATTGAAAAATATTTCTAAATAGATATGTAATTTTTAGTTCATTAATAAATAAATCGGTATGAATTAAAAATTTATTAATTAATCAAGCTAGCCCACAAAAGGTTTACATTATTAAAAAAATGTTCGATTTAATTAATTTAATTTTCATTAACTTATTAGCTTAATTACACTTATTTCAAAAATAATTTGTAATCAAAAATACGAAATTAATCGACTTAAAATTAATAATACCAACAAACTTTATGATTTTATGAATATTTCCAAAATCAAATTAAGATGGATTTTTTAACAAAAATAACAAAATTTTTTTCGAATTCAAATTTCTTTTAAATAAAATATATCTAAAGCTTTTAAAAATGATTGAATATAAAAAACAGTAAAGAGGTAGTTCTTAAAAAAGTATGAAATAGTTAATTTATTTATTTATTTGGAAATAATTTTTCCAACTAAACATAAGCTTTTAGAGATTTGTTTCATTTTAGTTTATTTGGTTAATATAATTATTTTGTTACTAATTTACTAAAAGCATATTTTGTAAAAATATCGAATCAAAATTGATCAGATTAACCAAAGTTTAATATTTTATAGATTTGTTACATTTTTGTGTAAATAAACATTAAATAATTATCTACTAAATAAAAAATTTCTATGATAAATGAATAATTATTTTAAATTTAGTCAAAAAAAATATTTTAAAATGTAGAATAATAAAATATTTGTGTTTGTTTTTTACTAAAAACATTATTAAATAATCGTTAAAACTCTATTTTCTTAAAAGTAATTAAATTAATTTAATAAAAATTTTAACTAAAATAAACTATTGAGATAAATTATTATTCTCGAAAATAACCACAAATTTTATCTTATATTACTTAATCAATAATTAATTTCTGAAATCTAAAATTTTTAATTAGTATTATATATATATATATATCCTATTTCTTTGAAATAGATTGTATAATAACTAGGATTTAATAGAAAATTGTTATTCTAACTATCTTATTGAAATATCTAAAAAATTATATTCAAAAATTGTAATATTGAGGAACAAACTACAGTATAAAATTCTTTAATATCATATAATATTAGTTTAATTATAATACCAATTAATATTGAATAATATTATTTCAAAATAATCAATATAGTTTTATATTACTAATCAATTGATAGGTTTTTCTAAATTAATTTGTAATTTTTAGTCATTAATAAACATATCGGAAAGAATTAAAAATTTATTATATTAATCAAGCTAGCCTACAAAAAGTTTACATTATCAAAAAATATTCAAATTGATTAATTTATTTATTATTAATTTATAAGCTTAATTACACTTATTTCCGTAAGAATTTATTATCAAAAATACAAAATTAATCAACTTAAAAATAATAATACCTTCCTTTTTTTATGGTTTTATGAATATTTTGAATATCAATTCAAAATGGATTTTTTCAAATTCAAATTTCTTTTTACCTTTAGAAAAAACATTTAAAAATATTTTAGTCAATATCACAAAATAAATTATTGGAAATAATTTAAAAATAAATAAAACAAGCTAATTTGTAAACAAAAATTATTACTTTCAGAAACAGACATTTGTAACTAAATGAATACTTAATTACTCTTAGAAATAATTATTAGATTACAAGTAAAAGTTTGAATTTGGGAAAATAGCCAATTAATTACTAATTGAATTTGGTTTCTTCAAATTTATAAAATTTTGATTATCAATAAAAAAAAAATCGCAGGCAGTGTTTCAAATGGTAGCTAAATTTTTACTGTTTAAACATATTTTATTTATGATAAATAAAAAGAAATATTTTTGAAATTTATTTGAATCAAATCATTTTAGTAAAACTTTAACTGTAAAAATATGAATATCATAAATAGAAAATCTATTCTTTAATATTACCATAATCTTACTTTAATTTTCTTTCTTTCTTTTCTCATAATAGTATCACTCACTCTCTGTTTATTTAGTTAAATAATATTTTTTGAAATCTAAATATAAAATCAAAATTGATCAGATTAACTAATGTTTAACATTTTATAAATTTGTTACCTTTATTTTTAGACAAACATTAAAGAATAATCAACTAAATAAAAAATTTCTATAATAAATGAATAATTATTATCTTTTTAGTTAAAAGAAATTATTTTAAAAAGCAGAATAATAAAATATTTGTGTTTTTTACTAAAGACATTTTTAAATAATCATTAAAACTCTATTTTCTCAAAAATAGCAAAATTAATTTAATCAAAATTTTAACTAAAATAAACTATTGAAATAAATTATTATCCACGAAAATAACCATAAATTTTTTCTTATATTACTTAATCAATAATTAATTTCTGAAATCTGAAATTTTAATCATTATTATATATCCTATTTCTTTGAAATAGATTGCATAACAAATAGCAGATTCAACACAAAATAATTATTTTATTATACCAAAATTTTAATTTTAGATAAAACTTTTTAGGATAAAATATTTTTAAAAATACAGTAATTAGTTATTTAATTTACTATTATTCATGAAATTATCACAGTCTTAAAAGAATATGCTCGACAATTTAAAAAAGTCCATTTGTTATACATGCAAAAAAAAGCAAATCGACGTAATTAAATACAAAAAATATGTAATAGAAAGTTAATAAATGTTAAAGAATATACATTTAGTATGATTAATAATCAGTCTGATATTTTCTAACCAATTATTCAAAATTTATGATTATCTCTTTTATTCGTTGCTATTTAAATTAATTTCTTTGATTTTGGAACTTAATTACAAATATATAAACCATATGCAATCTTAGCTAAAAAATGAAAATTATAATATCAAGTTTACTACTTCTCAATTTTAAATTTAGGCTACATATTGCTGAAAATTTTATAATCAAAATAATCAAAATAAAAATAAATTACAATCTTTAAAAAAAAAACAAGATGAGAAAAATTGCTTCAGTTTTAATTCTTATTTCTATTGCTTTGTTTACAGTAAATGCTTCTAAGTGTGAAGACGATCTTACAAATCAGTTAAATTCTGGAACAGTTTGTTAGAGTACTGATACTGCTTGCTAAACTGCATTAAATACTTTGCTTTAATGTTCAGTGAGCTGTAGCTAAAAGAATAGTTCTGATTCTGCTATTGCAAATTGCGTAAAAACTAATTGCAGTAATATCAATAACGATACTGTTAAGGGTTTTTATAACAAAATGATTGCTTGTTTTGACAGTGTACTTTTGTTCTCAGCCCTCTTCGTTTTAGTATCATTGTTATTCTGATGATTTTAATTAACACAATAACTTTAAAATTGTATGTTTGATTGAATTAATAATTATGAATGGAGTTATGGATTTGTAAACATTTTTTGTTATTTATAAAACTGTTGTTTAATTCTAATTATTAATTCTAAATAAAAATCAATTAATTTAAAATTAGTTCCAAAAATATTATTTCAAATTGATATTTATAATTTAAATCCTTAATAAATTATGTCTTAGATAATTAGATTCGTTCTTTCATTTACATTATAATTTATTCAAAATTTATTTTTTTAATTTAAAATAAAATTTTTATTTATTTTATGTTTTTTTTATGTAAAATTATAATATAGAATTAAATTTTTAATTTTTTAAATTTTAATTTTACATTTAATTAATTTAAATTTTAAAATAAGTCTCTATAAAAAAAAAAAAATCTGCTAATAGTAATATTTGTTAGTATATGAATATACAGTAAATAGCTAATTACTTTATTTTTAAATTTATCATTTTAATGCTAATCAAATATAATTATATATAAAATAAAATTTTTTATTTTTAATATTAATATTTGGTATGATCTGATTACTTCTATTTAATGATTATTACATGACATGTTTAATAAATTTTTGTAATTTAATTCATAAATTAGCAAGCTATCCTAAATGAATAAAATTTAATATAACAATAAGAAATTTAGTACTTCTCATTTATAAATTTAGAGCGCACTTTGCTAAAATTTTATAATCAAATAATAATTTATAAATAAAATATAAATAAAACTAAAAAAAAAGGAGATGAGAAAAATTGCTTCAGTTCTAATTCTTATTTCTATTACTTTGTTCACAGTAAATGCCTCATAGTCATCATAAGACCTTGCTAATTTGATATATTCAGGAGGAATTTGTTAAAAAATGATTCTGATTGCTTAAATGATTTAAGTGTCTAGTACTTTATCTGTGGAATAAACTGTGACAGAAATTCTTATCGTGTTTATTAACCTGCTACTGGAGATTATATTTAGAATTATTGCAGCAATATAACAAATGATACCGTTATGGATCTTTATAAAAAAATACTTGCCCGTTATGAAAGTGATTTATTTACCCATCCTCTTTTGATTTAGTCACATTGTTATTCATATTATTTTAACATCATCAATTTTAGAAATGCAAATTTTTTAATTTAATATTTTAATTAATTAATTAAAATGAATTGAGTTAAAATTTTGTATCAATTTTTTTTACATGAACTGAATCAAACATAATATATTATAGAGATTGACAATTAATTTTTTTTTTTTTGTAAAGTATTCAAAAAAATGGAAACAATTTATAATAAATATATTTATAGATTATAAAAATTCATAATATAATAGCTATCTATCATTGTTAAAATTAGCAACTTTCATAGTTTTAACTAAGATTTGAGGTATGTTTTTATTACTATAAACTGTAATTATTTGCAATTATTTTATTTATTTTAAAATTGCATATACATTTAAAACAAATAATCCAAAAATATTTAGTCTAACAATATTAATTTGTCTATTTGCAATCAAAATAAACAACTTAATGATTTTTGAATATATATTTTCACTTTGTTAGATAAATTTCATTCGATTTTATATTATTTCTTAGAAATTAAAAACTTTTTGTTGTAGATAAAATCTATAAGAAGATAAATTGAATAAATATTTTAATAAATGAAGAAAATAATTTAAAATTTATCTTTAAAGTATGAAATATTGCTTTATTTTTTTTAAATATTACTTTAATACTCTCAATTATTTTAATAACACCAAATACTTATTAGTGATTATAAATAAACTTTACATATAGCAAACAAAAATTTAATACATTTATTATCAACTAATGATTTATTCATTATAATTCGTATTATTAATTAGTTTTTATCGTATTATTTTCTGGAAGATTTTTTAACCTTGCTATTTCTGATCAATTAAATTATTAATATTTTACAAATAATATTTGCTTTTAATAAAAGATTAAAAGCTCCTGGATATTGATATGTAAATAGCAACCACTTAAACTAGTATAATCTTGAATATCAGCAATTTATAGTAATATAAGGCATTATAATTTATAATATGACTTGAGTGGAATTAATCTCTTCTATTTTAAATGGTCATTCAAATACATTTAAGTTACTAAATCAATTTTAAACTATAAAGAAACAATTACTAATTGTAAGTAATTTAGCTGTCAAAACCTCTTCTAAGAGATGTTAATAAAAGAATATAAATCTATTAATAAAGGTTCATGATAAATAGTAACAATAAATTATTGATTTGAAAATAGTTATATACTTTAAAATCATCTTAAATTTTTTCTCACTTTTAATTAAAATAGCAAAAATCAAAAAATTAAAAATTAATTTCAAAAATATTAGTTTAATTGTTTGAATGAACTGAATCAGACAAAATATATTATATTGATAGAGGATTAAATTCTTTTTTGTAAAGAAAAGTATTCATAAATATGAAAACAATTAATAATAAAAATATATTTTTTAATTATAAAAATGCATAATAAAATAGCTATCTATCATTGCTAAAATTAGTAACTTTCATAATTCTAACTAAGATTTGAAGCATATTTTTCAAACTATAAACTGCAATTGTTTGCAAGTAATATATTTATTTTTAAAATTGCATATACATTTAAAAAAAATAATCCAAATATATTTAGTCTACCATTATTAATTTGTCTGTTTACAATCAAAATAAACAACTTAAAGATTTTTGTAATATTTTTACTTTGTTAGATAAATTTTATTCAATTTTATATTATTTCTTTGAAATTAAAAACTGTTTGTTGTAGATAAAAGTCAAAAAGAAGATAAATTGTAAAAATATTATAATAAAAGATGAAAATAATTTAAAATTTATATTCTAAACAAGTATGAAATATTGTTTTATTTTTCCTTTAAATTACTTTAATTAATAACACCAAATATTTATTAGTGGTTATAAATAAACTTTACATATAAAAAACAAAAATGTAATACACCTATTATCAACTAATGATTTATTCCTTATAATTCGTATTATTAATTAGTTTCTATCATAAAATTTTTCTGGAAGATTTTTTTAATCTTGATATTTCTGATAAATTAAATTTTCTATATTTCATGAATAATATTTGCTTTTAATAAAAGAATAAAAGCTCTGGATCAATTGATATGTAAATAAAAACCGCTAAAACTTATATATCAACAATTTATAGTTATAAAAGGTATTATAATTTATAAAATGAATTGAGTGGAATTAATCTTTTCTATTTTAAATGGTCATTCAAATACTTTTAAGTTATCAAATCAATTTTATAAAGAAACAATTACTAATTGTTAGTAATTTAGCTGTCAAAGACCTCTTCTTAGAGATTTTAATAAAAGAATATAAATCCATTAATAAAGATTCATGAAATAGTAACAATAAATTATTTACATGAAAATGGTTATATGTCTTAAAAACATCTTCAATTATTTTCTCTCTTTTAATTAAAATAATATAAATTAAAAAATAATTGTTTTTATGAAAATAAAATTGATTTTCTTTTTTATTGATATTATTTTTTGAAATTCAAACTTAGTCGCTACATTAACCTTTTTAACACTTTCAAAGCATAAACTTTGCTATCAAATTTATTAATATGCAGAGTAAAGATTGTTTGGCAGATAATTAATTATTAAGTACCATATTTTCTCGATTTCACGGAACTCGGAATTCAAAAAAATCTGTATTTTGAAATGAGAAATTTAAAATTTTTTGACTTAGCCTTGTATTTTACATTGAAGATTAATTCATGATTTTATGGTTTAGATTAAAATGACTCACTTTATTTCTGTGCCACAAATAAACGAATTAATTAAATTTATTTTCTTAAATCACCTATTTACAAAGTTTTTCTGATCAAATAAACAATCCCTGGCCTTGCTTAATAAAAGTATTATATATTAAATAAAAGAAATATCTTTTGCTCATAAACAATTTCTTTTAATTTAATCTATAAATAATAATCTAAAAATGGATTAATATAATAATTAGATCATACGATCATTATTATTATCATCTCTATTATCATAAAATAAATAAATATTTTCTTCTGTTTTATGCATAATATATCTATATTAAGAATATACATACAATACTTGCTAGTGTATGAATATACAGTAAATAGCTAATCACTTTATTTTAAAATTTATCATTTTAATGAAAATCAAATATACACAAACAAATTAAATTAAAAGCAAAATTATGTATAAAGTAAAGTTTATTATATTTAATATTAATATTTGATACGATCTGATTATTTTATGTATATGTTTAATAAATTTTTGTAATTTAATTCATTAATTAGCAAGCTATCCTAAATGAATAAAATTTGATATAACAACAAAAAAATTTATTGCTTATCAATTATAAATTTAGAGCGTACTCTGCTGAAATTTTATAATCAAATAATAATTTAAAAAAAATAAATTAAATAATAAAAAAAAAACGAGATGAGAAAAATTGCTTCAGTTCTAATTCTGATTTCTATTGCTATGTTCACAGTAAATGCCTCATAGTGTTCAGAAGACCTTACTAATTTGATATATTAAGGAGGAATTTGTTAAAAAAATGATTCTGATTGCTTATATGCTTTAAGTACTTTCCTTATATGTGGAATAAACTGTGACAGAAGTTCTCATCGTGAATAACAACCTGCTACTGCAGTTTGTGTTTAGAAATATTGCAGCAATATAAGAAATGATACTGTTAAGAATCTTTATAGCAAAATACTTACCTGTTATGAAAGTGACTTACCCAGCCTCTTTTGATTTAGTTAGTCACATTGTTATTCATATGATTTTAACATCATCAAATTAGAAATACAAAATTTTTTTAATTTAATATTTGAATTAATTAAATTGAATTGAGTTAAAATTTTGTATCAATTTTTTTATACTTTGTATGAGACTATTATTTAATTCTAAACATTTATTTTGATGATAAATCAAATTTTTTTAGATTAACTTCAAACATACTAGCTTAATTGTTGTACATGAACTGAATCATACATAATATATTATAGAGATAGAGGATTAAATTCTTTTTTAAAGTAAAGCATTAATTAATATGCAAACAATTTATAATAAAAATATGTTTATAAATTATAAAAATGCATAATAAAATAGCTATCTATCATTTTTAAAATTAGTAACTTTCATAGTTCTAATTAAGATTTGAAGCATGCTTTTATTACTATAAACTGCAATTATTTGCAAGTAATATATTTATTTTTAAAATTGCATATACATTTAACACAAATAATCCAAAAATATTTAGTCTATCATTATTAATTTTTCTTTTTGTAATTGAAATAAACATTTTAAAGTTTTTTGCAATATTTTCACTTTGTTAGATAAATTTCATTCGATTTTATATTATTTCTTAGAAATTAAAAACTGTTTGTTGTAGATAAAAGTCAAAAAGA